TGTATAGGCTAGTTAGGCTCCTTGAGGATGATGCAAGGACCCCAACAGTCCAATTTTGCACGTATTGGGTACTAGATGCCATGATCCTCATCTTCAGAGCAAGGCATTACAGAAACTCATGGAAGGGCAACCAAGAAATTGCTTGAATCTTCTAGAATAAGTTCTGCCTCAGCAGCAGGGCCCATGCTGCAACAGGGACTTGGTTCAATCTCCATTTCAGATTTCTCAACAATGCCCCTTCGAATCAGTTATTTGGAAGTGAAGAACTAAATTTTCTAAGCAAAATATTTTATTAAGGAGGTCCAAATGGAGATTTTTTCAGCTTCTCCCTAAATTCTGGAGTCCAGACTTTGAAGATGGAGGGAGTCAGTAGCCTCAACCAGTTCTCTCATGGGGAGGGGAGCCTTCTGCTTTATCATTTTTATTTGGCTTTTATCTGAGGCTGGAGTGAGGTTGAGTGCAGTCTGGTTTAAGCTGGAACTTTCCTTGAGTTGTTTTGATCTCTTGATTTAGTCAGAAAAGCTAAACAGTCTCATAAAATCCCATGAGCTCAGGTCTGGTTTAAGGACACTGCTTGCGAAGCGGAGAGCTTGTGGCTTCTAAGGCAGAGGGAGGGCAGAGGACACAGTGAGGAGGAACCATGGCCAGCAGGTGGATCTCTGCGCATTCCACCCCACAACAGCTCTTTCCGACATTTTATAGGCTAAGGATTTGCTTCTGTTTGAAAACCCCTGCCATCGGGCACGGTTGCTAAGGAAAAACAGAGCAGAATTGAAAAGAGAAGCAATCTGTGCCTGATGCGATATTTCTTAGCAACAGGGACAGAAAGCCACAGTAAATTCTTTAGGGCTTCTGGATCCACAGTAGAAAAACATGATCATGCTGAGTGAAAAGGAATTCTTTTCTTCCCACCGAGGCTAATAAAAGTAGAGATTGCTTCTTCTCTCTGGAGCCTGACTTCCTGGAAAAGAGGGTAAATGTCATGGTGAAGAAGCTAGTTTTAGAATCAACTGAGCTGTCACGCGTGGTGGCACGAATCTTTAATTCCAGCACTAGGGAGGCAGAGGCAGGAGGATTTCTGTGAGTTTGAGGCCAACCTGTCTACAAAGCAAGTTCCAGGACAGCAAGAACTATTACATATAGAAACCCTGTCTCTGAAAAAAAATAAAAAAAAACAAAACAAAATAACAAAGAATCAAACAAGAGCCCAGGGATGAGTCCAAGGTCACCAGTGGCTAGCTATGTGGCCTTGGGCCACTTCCTTAGCCTATCTGAACTCTAGGTTCCTCATGTTGAATGGATGTATTAATAATGAATACTTTCTATGATTCTAGTATAAGACCATACACTGGATGATAATGCCAGCTGTATTTCTTATCATACTTTCTTCATGGTTATTTCTTTGATTAAGTACAATGTGTGAAACCTCAGAAAACAAACACAAAATAACCCCCCAATGCTTACTTAGAGCCACATTGTCTGTGGCCTTGATTTTAACTGTATCAGTATCCCTTTCTCATCCTTAAATCTAAATGATGCACTTCATGAACCACGCTATGATATACATGATTTGCAAAAGTCTTTAAGATAAGAGAAATAATTCCACCATTTATCATACTTTTTATTTAATTTTAAACAATTTAAGTTTGACCTTTGCTTAATCATCAAACCTTGTTGCAAATTGTATCCCTTGATCAATGCAACTTAAAATACCTTAAAATCAAATATGTATATTTTCCTTACACAGATCCAAAGCATGTATTTCCCCTTAGCTCTACGTAATACACTTGCTAGCTTCACTTCTGAAGTTCTTTTCTGGGATGTGGTTTAGGATTCTGCTTTACTGGTACAGAAGTCCCGAAGGCAGAGAAAGTAGCAATGACTGTAGCCTGTAGTATGTCTTCCTGCTGCTTCGGTCACCACAGAACTATACAATGTCTGAGCTCAGGGACTATGCTGGTGGCTCTTATTTTTGCTCTTTGAGTAAATTTGGGGAAAATAAAATGCTTTCTAAAAAGTCTTATGCACTTGGCTTTTGGTTCTGTTTTATATTAGAGATAAACCCCAGGGCCTGCTAAGAAAACACTCTGGGCCAGCCATCTGTCACTGGGATGTACTTCTGAGACACTTTATACTGTTTCATTGGCTAACTATAAGTCGTAGTTAGGGTTTATATTGTTGTGAAGAGAGACCATGACCATGACAACTCCTATAAAGGAAAACATTCAGTTGTGGTGGCTTGGTTACAGTTTCAGAGGTTCAGTCCATTATCGGTATGGTGGGCTGTGGCAGCATGCAGGTGAACTGGTGCTAGCGACATCTTGATCAGAAAGCAGCAGGAAGTAGACTCTCAATTGGAATAGCTTGTCATAGGAGACTTCAAAGCCCACTCCCACAGTGATATACTTCCTCCCACAATGCCACTCCTACTCTAACAAAGTCACACCCACTTATAGTACCACTCCTTTGGGGGGCTATTTTCTTTCAAACCACCACATTATAGCTAAGTATTATTCTAAGCATCCACTTACATTATTTCATTAAGTTTCCACAGAACCCCTATATGGTATGTCACTATACATATGGGTTTTTGAGACAGGGCTTCTTTTTTTAGCTTAAGAACCTGTCATGGAACTTGCACTGTAGACCAGGCTGACCTCGAACTTGCAGAGATCCACCTGGCTCAGTGCCGCCACCACCAAGCAGTGGTCGCTAATTTTATAATAGTCTTATAAATGAAGCAACTAAGGCATAGGGAGGTTTGCAAAATGTGAGCAAGTTCCTGAGACTAGTACGTGCCAAAGCTGCATCGGAACCTTGAACTTAGTTAGCTTGCATCAAAGCTCTCTTTCCTTTCTGTTCAAACTGTTCTCAGTTTGCAGCTTCTAATTTTGAATTTAGTGTAAAGCCCAGGTTTCTGCCCTTGGGCCTCAGACACACTTTCCCTGACCACAGATTTAGTCCCGGGGTGGCTGAAAGCCGAACCTCTGAAACAGCTAATCTTCATGGTTTCATTCATCTTAGTCACCTTGACAGATTTGGGCTCAGATGAAAGAATTCGGCAGAGTTGCTTCTCTGGCAAAGTGAGAGCATGTTCAAGAAATTTAGCAAAATACAAAGTGAATATTCGGACTCTGAAACTGAGATGAAACCAATAAAAACACTAATAGTGGAACCAAGGCTCCCAGAAGCTGCCGGAGACTCTAGTTGCTATAGTACACACTCTTCACATTTGTTTTGGGGGCACAGAGCTACACTGTGAAAGTTTGAACCCAGGGAAAGTTTACTTACTTTCATTGCCAAAACTGGGATAGGCAGATTCATGGCCATAGATTTTCTTATCTAGAAAAGAAGAAGAAGACATGAATGGAAATGAAATCCTGGGCTGGGAGCCTGTACCACCCCAGAGGTCCCAGATTGCCTGTCCTTCACTTTATGGACACAAAACATGATTTCTCTTATGGGATGTTGAAAACAGAAGATTCTTCTGCTCGTGAAGCATCCTTTAACAACTTCTTCCCATCTCCCAGGCAGAGCTAACGAAGGATCTCTAACATAGTGAATTGTGGACTATCAGACACCAGTGAATGCAAGCAATGTCAACATTGATAGTGGAATGTGAAGCCTTTCTCCAGTTGAGGCTTAGATGCTAAACATTTCTGTGAATGTGTGAAGCAATCTCGGCAAAAGATAATGCCTGCATCCTTCTTTGGCCCTGATGTGCCTCGCTTCTAGTAGATGCTCACTAAAGGTTTGCTGAATCAGATTGGAACTTTCTAGAGCTGCTATGTTTGGGAAATGCTGATTTGTGCCATCTGCTTTCTAAGCAACTGTTGAAGCAGAGTTCTGCTGTGTGTATGCATAGATATCCATATAAACACAGTTGTTCTCATTTTCCTTCTGAATACAGTCAAAGATTTGTGAAAAAGAAGACAGAAATATCCATTTTCAGAAGTTTCCTACGCATGCAATTTGCATGGTTTCTTTTCTTTATATGTAGCTAATCAAACACAGGAAAGAGTGGGGTCCTATTTTAATGGGAAATTTGTTTTTAACATGGGACATAGTGTCAGACTTGGCGGGCTATGCTGAATGGGCCCTTTGTAGACTGTATGCTTATTCACAGCAAGGAGAACATCCAGTGGTTTCCTTCAGGTGTGAAACCGCAGATATGTATGGATAAGAAAGTTGTGGGAGAAAATAATTCACCCAGGCTACAGGATGCTAGAGGATGCAGCCTTGGCCTCATGAAAGAGTATGGTATATCTTATATCCATCAAACGTTTCACAAGAAAGGCCAATCTTCTGGCAGAGTGCATCGCTATTTTGGTGAAAGTATAATGAGCATAATTCTCCCCCTTTCTTTTTCTTCCAAAAAAAAAAAAAAACGAAGGGACTCCTGTTTTATGGTGAGTCTTTTACATCTAGATTCAATTTGTTTTTTTGTCCAGGGGGAGAAGAAATGTTCAGGGTGCAGAAACCCAAAGGACAGTGAGTTGGAGCCCAGGGTGCAGGAAGGAGTCACAGGCAGCCAGATACTGTTGTATCTGCAGTCAGCTATGAGGCGGTCTCCCCAGCTGCTTTGAATTTTAATGTGTGGAGCAGATGGTTGGTGTAGATTGCCCTTGTTTTTGCCCAGGAGTCTGGCATCATTGCAAGTTGTCAACCTGTTTGGAGAACAGAGTTAAGAGCCTGTAGGTACATCAATAGAGCTCTGTTTTGCAAATAGATTATTCAGTGGAGTGGAGATAAATATGAGACCCTATGATTTTAGGCATAAGCCCATCATTTTTTCCAGGACAGAGCCAAGGCAACAGACTGGGGGGATTATTTCAGGCCAAGCCTGACTGTTTGCCTGTCTCCTTTAGCCCATAAGCTGTGTGTGTCAATGTGGCCTAGTGAAAACATATGCAAGTTTTAAGTAAAATCACGCCTCTTGGCGGCAGCCTCATCTATGTCCAGAGTGGCGGTATTTGTCTTAGTCCCTTATGCCCTGCCAACTAACTGCCAACCACAATGACCTTGCAAGTATCTGTGAGCGTTTCCTTACAGTGCTCTGAGTTGAGAGGCAGGTTCCCGTGCAGGCCCGAGCTTCCAGCTGTCTTGGCAGGGTTGCAGTTCTCCCTGGCGGCAGGTTCCAGAGGACGGTTTAGGTATCTATCCTGCTGGAGTAAATGTAGGAGGGACCCGCGTCTCCCGTCAGGGTAGACCCCTGGAGCCGGAGGCCTGTTGGGGAACCCACGAAAGTAGGCAGGCTCTAGGAAGTCTGGCCTCGCTAGAGAGGGAAAAGGCCACATCTCTTGAGGATGTGCAGAGGGGGTCTTGGGAACAGACAGCGGATTCTGATCTAGAGCCTTAGGACCACATTTATCCAAGCTGCTGCTGCTGCTGGCGCCATTTGCTAGAGATGCTTCTGGCTGTGGCTTTGTCCAGGAAGGTGTGAGATGCCACTGATTCAGGGGCATGCTGCAATCTGGAAAAGATTCAGACATTATGTTAAGTATTTTCTCCAAATGTTCGAAACAGAAATATACTATACATAGTATACATCAATATATATAATTTATTTTTATTATTTGTATTGAGAGAGGTGTGTATATAAGTGCAGGAGGCCAAACGATAACTTTCAGGAGTCAGTTCTTTCCTTCACTGATAGGCTCAAGGGATTGAGCTGAAGTCATCACACTCTCTTGGCAAGAGGTTTTACCCACTGAGCAATCTCTCTAGCCCCATAATATATTTTTGACTTAAAGTAAGCAGAAAATGTTTTTTAAAAACCCACACTAACCACAGTGTCCATAAGTAGCTACTGCCACCTCTAGATTTGTTTATATTATTTTTCAGACTGGTTTTGCTTCATTAAAATATCATGAATATCATTGAACATAGTAGCACATGCTTATAATTTCATGCTCAGGAGACGGAGGCAGGAGGATTGGCTTGAGTTCAAGGCCAGCCTGGGCTATACAATGAATCTAAGAGCACTCTGGGCTACAGCAGATGCAGTCTCGAGAAATAAACAAAACAAACATCCTCCCACAGCAATGAATGGAGGCAAACACAAGCCTTTTTCAAGTTACTAATTTTAATGTCATCATTTCCTTCCACAAGATTTATGCACAAGCTTAAGCCCAGAAAAATTAAGATAAAAACATTAAACATTTGTTTCTCTCTCTTTTTTTTGACTAAATCCAGAATGATTGCAGAAAGATACAACATGATTTAGAACAGGCTAAACTGGAAGGGCATCCCATTTCAGAGGGACACACAGAAGGCACAACGGCGTTGTTCTGTTCTGTTTTGTTTCGTTTTTCATCAGGACCATTTTCTTTTGCTTAAGGAAAAAGTTGGATTTTAGTCCTTTTTACTGAAGAAGTCTTTTTGTGGTATCAACTTATTTGAAAGATTACCTTATTGCTAATACAAACACTAGTTTTTAAATGGCTGTATACTGTTCTACCATAAGTCAGTGATAGACTAAGAAAGGTTCCCTTTGTGGACAGCACAGTTAGTTGTTTCCATTTCTCAATTATGTTACCGACATCTCAGTGAACATTGTATGTGCATTTTTGCACCCACGTGAACATTGGCTCCTTATGAAGTCTTCTGTAATGAAGCTCTTGTTCTGCTGCTGCTATTGGTTAGCTCTATTGGATAGCTGGTACTTTAAATATGGCAGATTGGAGGACTCCACAGAACTGTATAAAGAAATTAATTCTTAACTGTCTTGGTCTGTCACACAACTCTAGGAACTGAACCCAATCTTAGGCATGAAAATGGTAAGAAACTGGGCCATGGTAGCTAAGCATAATGGGCTGGTAGGAAACGAAGCAAGAACAGTGAATGCTGGATAGGAAAGCAGTTGCTTGGTCCTCACTCTGCAACAGCAGAATGGTTGGAGTCAACAGATGACCCTACTTCCCCTTGTCAAGGTCATGTGGACTGACTAACAGGGATGGAATCTCCTTAGGTTCCGATCCCAGTTGCACCTGGGACAGTAGCCGACTCTGAGATCACAAATGTCTACCATAGCCAAGACCATGAATGGATGTTTTCCCATTCTCAGCATCCACTCAGGCGAGAGTGGGGAAGGAAGTTCTACCAGGTGATGCTTAAATCCTGGAGCCTCTCATCTATCTAAGATAACGGAGGAGTGGGCAGGGAGGGGAGCGTGACTGGGATGACAAAAGCGAGTCTGTCTGAGACACTGCTTCCCTTTCTCTCCACAGGCATCTCTTTCAGCTCTGCTCAACATTTAGTTTGAACGAATTTTGTATAAAATGAAAAAACGATCTTAGAGGCCAGCGCAGTGCTGCTGGAGTATCCCTACCCACCATGGTAGCTTTGCCTGTTATATGGATGGCAAATCCCATATGACACAGGCATTCTGCTCAGTATCTCGCACCCCTCCCATTGAGCTGTGGTCCTAGTAGGCTCCTCTAATAAAACGAAAGACAGGAAAATACATTGCGACACAGTCTCAGGGGTTAATATTACTTTTGAAAGTTGGTATTTCTAGCAACTAGATCTCGGGGCACCGTGTGCCCTGGAACAGAATGATTAAGCTGATTTCATATAATCAGCGTCTATGCCTCTTATTTAACGGGAGTACTGCATGTCCTAAGCACAAATTAGAAACAAAGCCCAGCCTCTGACAACAGGGCAGTTTCCATCTGGACAGCTTTACAGATCTCATACATATGCCTCGGGTGCTCACTGAATGTCTGGGATACGGAAAGCAGGGCCACAGAAGGTTTCCAAAGCTTCTCTTAACTGTTTCTGTTCTAGTTAAGGGGAGTTTGGCAGTACCATTGTCCTCCGTATAGTCACTGGGGGTACCACAGTACAGTTTCCATGGAAGAATATGGAAGTGCACATGATTTGAATCTTGAAGTCAAAGCACCCCAATATTGTGAGTCGTCTGAGGGACCTACTTTTCCAGATCTGCTTTGGATGCTTGTGGCCCATTGAGTGGAGACCCTTCATTGGGTGGGCTACTCTTTCTCAGGGTTCTTGGGCAACTATGCCTGTAGCAATGCCCATCTGCTCTGTGGGCACAGGGTGACACCTTAAACCTTGGACTTTCTCAAGGTTGCTGCTGCACTGACTGTCTTACCCAAGTGCCTCCTCTTAATTTCTTCTGGGTGCATGTGCAAGAGACCCCAAGTGGTGACTCTGATACTTTCTCAAATCCAAAACGACATGAATGGGCGGAGAGCATTTGAAGGCTTGGATTCAGAGCCACTTGAGGTAGATAGGAATTTTTACTTCGGTGAGAATATAGCTGACTTCCAATCCATATACTCCAACCCTAAGCATCTAGACCCACCTCTTAGTCCCACCCAAGGCTCTAGAATTCCTGAGGCTGGTCAGTCTGAAGACCAGGAATGTTCAGAAAGTCAGAAAGTTCTGCTCTCTCTCCTCACTATTTAAGCTAAAGTGGTACCCACTCCTCCCTCCTCATAAGAACAGTCAGAGATACCACCATTCCCTCCCATGCACACTTTGGAAACCCCAGAACCTTCAAGAAGGCCTTTGTTGTACTATAAAGTTTGCACCCAAATCAGGGAATGATCCCACCTCCATGCTTGGATGGGAGCCCAGACCTTGTACTCTGGACTACTTTCTAGACACACCAACTCTAACATCATCCTCCTAGAAATAGGAGTCTCCAGACTAGAGAGGATTCTGTTACTCTCTGTGGCACTAACCTGCTTGTTCCCTTCACAGCAGTGTTAAGTCATTTTATCAGTCACTCTTGTTCACTCACTAATGCTCTTTCCCATTACCCAGTATGAATGGAGTTAGCTCATTTCTCCTCTCCACCATCATATCTCTGGGAATTCTCACCATGCCTGGCACATAGCAGGTCCTGGCTACATATTTCAATGAATGCACACACATATATTCAAATACAAACATTAGAGCATATGAATACACATACCCCATTGCAAACACGTGTGTATGCTCACAAATGTGTGCATGCACACACACACACACACACACACACACACACTACTCATAAATCTTAATTGAACCTTTCTGTTTTAAGGTGAGCAGGTAATTTGTCACTTTGTAACATTATAAAAGCATATATATATATATACACACACACATATACATATATGTGTGTATACACACATATATAGAAAGATGATAGATAGATAGATAGATAGATAGATAGATAGATAGATAAACATATCAGATATACACAAACACACTCACAATCGCTACAATTATTGAAACTCTTGGTTGAGTATTTTACCCCGTTTGCCTTTACAAGATGCTGCGACTGGGTTTATTTAGCTAATAGTTTCAGAGGAAGATAGATTGTTCAAACACAAGCACTAGTGAAGACAACCTAGTGAATGGCCTCATTAAAGAAGTGTGTACAAGACTGATTACAAGGGGAGATAGGAAGCCAGGTAACACCTCAGCGGTCAAGTTCACTCTTGTATAATAGCTCACTGTCTTGGTAATTGAGAACTAACAGGGACTCTCTTAGAGGAGCAACACACCTCTTTTTATCTTTAGTTTTAAAACAATCTTATTTTTGTCAGTTGCGGGGTTGGTGAAGATCTTCTCCCAGGCAGTGGGTTGCCTTTTTGTCTTAGTGACAATGTCCTTTGCTTTACAGAAGCTTCTCAGCCTCAGGAGGTCCCATTTCTTCAATGATGCCCTTAGTGTCTGTGCTGCTGGGGTTATACGTAGGAAGTGGTCTCCTGTGCCCATGTGCTGTAGAGTACTTCCCACTTTCTCTTCTATCAGGTTCAGTGTGTTCTGGCTTTGTGGGAGCCTAGGCAGTTTGGATGCTCACCTTAGGAGACCTGGATAGAGGTGGGCAGTCCTTGGGCTTCCCACAGGTCAGGGAACCCTGATTGCTCTTCGAGCAGATGAGGGAGGGGGACTTGATCGGGGGAGGGGGAGGGAAATGGGAAGCGGTTGTTGGGACGAGGCAGAAATCCTTAATAAATAAATAAATTTAAAAAAAACAATCTTATTTTACATGACAATACCAGTTCCCTCCCCCCCCCCAGTCCTCCCACTCCTCCAACTTCTTTCCACTCCACCCCCATCCATTCCTCAGAGAGGGTGAGGCCGCCCATAGGAAGTCAACAAAGTCTGTCACATCACTTGAGGCAGGACCAAGCCCTCCCCCATGTATCTAAGCTGAGCAAGGTATCCCTCCATAGGGAATGGGTTCCAAAAAGCCCATTCATGCAGTAGGGATAAATACTGGTTCCCCTGCTAGTGGCCCCACAAACTGCCCATGCCACTCAACTGTCACCCACATTCAGAGGGCCTAATTTGGTCTTAGGCTGGTTCCTCAGTGTCAGTCCTGGGTCAGTGAGCTCCCACTAGCTCGAGTCAGCTGTTTCTGTGGGTATCCCCATCATGGTTTTGGCCCCTTTGCTCATAATATTGTTCCTCCCTCTCTTCAACTGGACTCCAGGAGCTCGGCCCAGTGCTTAG